TTGCTTCTCATAGACTCTCACAGTTGGTGATCCACTGTCTGGCACTGTGTTCAAAACCACAGACCACGGCAGAGTGGCGGAGAGAGGAAGAGGGAGAAGGGCAATCTGGATTGGAGTTTGGTCAATCTTCAAACGTTTTCCAGGGTGCTTACATGGTCTGATCAAAAGCCCCCCTCTGGCATGGACCCTTGTAGCCACAAGGGGAGGCCTCTGATGCCTCTGCCATCATTTCCCTCCGGCATATCCCTCAACTCAAATCCCCAGCTCTCTTAGTTTTAGGTACCATAACATAAAACATACATGTAGTTGGAGTCTTAACAGAGAACAAATGATGTTAGTGGTGTGCTTTTTGAAACCGATCGTCCTTTTATGTGAACTATTGAATCAAGCCCCTGTTTGAGACCTGCTGTTTGATGGCTTTTCTTGTGGTTTTATTCATACTGCAATGGTTACTTTTTTCATCTTTCATTAACTGTGCTGTTGTTCAACCAGTCAGATGTGATGACAGAACAATAATTACAAGGCTGCAAAATTATAATTGTGTTTATTAAGGGGGCAACCGAAACCAACCTTCTCCCATGTTGAAAAAGTAATTCCCCTTTAAGCCTAATAACTGATTATGTCAATCATGGCAACAGCCACTTCCATCAAGCACTTTTTACCAGATAGACAATAACTGGCAGTAAGTTTTTTACATTGATTCAGCTGTACTGGGTTCTTTTCAGCACAGCCTGTTAAAAGTTATGTCACAGCATAAAAATTGGCTTCTTTTTGAGCCAATTAAAGTTGGACTTGGTGCTGTGCTTACGAAACGTGTTTTTTTTTAAATGCATTCTTTTGTATAGAAAGTTGCATATCTTTCCCTTTCTCTCAAGTTGGACCCTGTTCTGCCAGTTTATTTCAAGTATTGCCTCGACTAATATTAAAAGTGTTTCAGCAAAATACTTGCGAACATACTGGAGGACTTGACAAACTGAAGCAGCTTTGCAATGTTTGAAGAAATTGCATATTTAGTAATGATCGAAACATGACTTCATCCATCAGCTCTAAAAATCTGAAAATTTGCATGTAAGATTGGTTTTGTGTCTAGCATAGTAAGCCCCATATTGAATTTAATCATTGAGAATATTACCAATTATTTATCTGACAGAAATTGTCTCATATGTTGCAGATTTTAAAGCTAACCAGAGTACAATAGTCTAAGCATAATAATCTATACAAACCCATAATGAAAACAGATGGATGTCAAATGCTTATTGATGCATTTGACATCAATAGGTATTGATGTCCCAAGTGATTTTATGGGACCACTGGTGTTGCTTTGCAATTTAATAACTGAGTTTGAAATGCTCCCTTTTAAATTATGTTGTAATACAGCAGTCCAAATAAAGCTAAAGCAAAATCTGAAACAGTGCTCCGGCTCCAGGATTTGCCTCCTACTCTTTGCCGCCTGAGGACACTTATTTCTGTTCTCCGTTATCTTCCACCATCACTGCTGTGTTTGGATTTATGTTTGTACATGAAGGATATCAAATCCCACATGCAGCGTGAATCTAAACACCAGTTGCCTACTGTGTGTTTGTGCAATTTGTTTAAATATCTATAATTCAAGATGTTGTCATCTTCTCTTTTTTCAAAACTGTTAAATACAACCCATGGACTCCCTCGAGTAATGTAGACAGTTTTTCCAACACTCATCTATCTTCACCTTTTTCCCCCTTCCTTATGTCTCCTTCCCATGCTGCTGGAAGAGAGGAGCTGCCTGATAGATGCAGAGTTGAAATGGGGAATCGAGTCAGACCGGACTGAACCAAAGGGCAGCTCTCTGGGGCTGCAGGGTTTCTTTCAATGCATTGTTTTTCCTTTAATAGAGGGCGAGTGTGATTGTCTGAAAGGTATTACCTGGTTGCAGCCTTCTCACCTCATCTGATAGGTAATGCAGGGCAAATAGGATTTGACCAGGTTGTGTTTCTAAAGCACCCTAAACGTTAAAGTACAATTAGACTGAAGAAAGTTTGGCTTTTAAGTTAGCTTTAGGGCTGGGCAATACGGCTTAAAAATACAATCTCAGATTTTTTTTCGAACCAGACCCAATTTCCAATTATTTTACTTGCTTTTTTTTCTAGGGCCAGGTTATAAAAATATATATTTAATTACAAAAATAGAGTCACGATATAATTAGAATTATGACTAAATTTTACCAGATAGATGTTTTGAAATAGACGTTTTGAAATTACAACAAAATTCTTTCTCTCAAAAGCTTGGATAATAACTCCAACAAAAAATAGATTTTTTTTGCTGGAGTTATTGCTACTTCATTCCTCATACATTATGACTTTATGTTGGTAAAAAACATATTTTATTCTCATATTACTTAGTCTACTGTATATTCTTGTCCACAAAAACAACCAAGCCTTACTTTTATACTTTGTCATGGAGTTGATTAGATTTCAAGGTCCAAATAAATAAAGTACAGTTTTTAAACGTGCTTGAGAAACAAGATGGCCGCTTGGGTGTGCTGACATCGCTCCCAACTATGGAAACCCAAGAAGTGCAAAATCCAGATTTAACAAAAATTTAATCTGTTTAAATCTTCAAACACCAAAGAGTTTATTAATTGATTAAAATCAATTCATTGCCCAGTATTCTCATTGAGAGAAAATGCAAATAAATTCAGCTGTTTTTAGTTCTTCGCCAGGTATTTCTTTTTTATTTAAGCAGATGCTAGACCTGCAGAGCAGCGGCTTTGTTGATAAAACATTCCCACTGCAGCAGTTGTGCTTGTGGCCAAAATGTGAATTGAGAGACCTCCAGACAGCAGTGAGAGAATGTGTGATAGAGATCTGATTCAGATGAACTGCGGGCGGGGAGGTCGGGTTATCTCGTGATCCCTTGCGGCGGCCTGCTTGGACACATATCACGGTGTGCTGCTCTGTTATGGCCTGACGCTGACATGCTTTATGGACAAGCATATTTGCTGAGGTCTCCCTCCACGCTGCAGTGTCAGTAACCAGACGTAGATCTCCCGGCCCCCGCGTCCGTCCTCCATCCTCCCCACATATGGGTTTCGCATATGTTCTGTCAGTGACTCCAGGATCGGTCCCCCCCGGGTCAGACGCAGGTCAAACACGGAAGGCTTGACCACTTTGAGTTCTTCCACTCAAGCAGTCAATCTCTAGGGCCGATGGTTAATCTGCCTCACTTTTCTCCCCCCTTACATGATTATCTAATGGTTCTGACACACATTTGCTGCCTCACAAACAAACAAGAGGCTGTGTGTGTGCACACATCAGCTCCCAAACCTCTTCAGCCCTCCCAGTTTGACAGACGTATGACCCTGACTTTCCCCCCTCTTGAGTTATTTTTTAGTGAGGCTGCCTGCTCTTTGGGGATGTCACTATCCGAATAGACAGATGAATGTTGGGGTGGAGAGAGGCAGACGGGAATGGACAGATGATGGAGACATCATCTTTGATGGTTGGGGGAGGGATCTGTGACATCTGACATGATGGATACATCTCTCACGCCCCACATCAATAAACCTGCACCCTCCCCTTTACAATGTGCTGTTGTGGCTACATATTTGGTCAACATGATTTAATGTGAAGAAACATTACCTGATTTGCGACTAATTACAAAATTTTTCCACTGTTTCTCCAGGAAGGTGGTCTTGGCTTGAAGTTCAAAGTCCTAGTGAGGGAATTTATCATTCATCAGAAGGAGGAGGAAAGGAAAACACAGCTAAGGTTTCACAATGGCTTAATTGTATCAGCAATTAATCCCTCAAAGTTTCTGTAACTAAAGGAACTACAAATACTCCCATAGGACTCCTTTGAACTCATAAATAAATAATCCTCCAAGCTGTTGCACACGTTTCATACTTACAAATGAGTTTAACAAATGTGAAAATTCATAAATTTTAGTTAGTATAAAGCCAATCTTAATCTGTTATGACCCTTCACCGCAGCACATCTTATTCGGATTTCATGTCATAATCCATAATTGGAAAAAAAATGTATAAAAAAAAGCTTTTCAAAAATGTTTTTACAAATAAAAATCTAAAGTGATGGGAATTAATATTTGGTTCTGATAAATCCAGACTTTCTGGAACCACCTTTTGCTTTGGGGATTTGCAAATGAATTACATTGTTGCTGTGATTCTCCAGTCATCAGAGCTAAATTCGTCCAGTTGAACTAACAAATTCATACTGCCACACTGCAAAACTTTGACTGCACAATGTGCTCTTCCAATAGAGCCACAATTGCCATAATGCAGGACCAATTCAGTCTAATATTTAGAATCTGCAAAAGACTTCACAGTAAGCAAACAGCCAATAAAAGTTGTACACATTTGTAAAGTGAAAGAACATGATTGGTGGTTTTCACCATTTTGTATGAATAAAAAAGTGTGGAATCCATTTGTATTCAACCCTCTTGGTCAGATTTGTAGAACTTTTTTGTGATTTTTTTCTTCATGAGCTTCTAACAATGGCAGACTTGAAGTTTTGCTTTTTGTTTTTTTGTGAAACAGATTAGTTGGACTGGATAGGAAGCACCTGTGACCATTAATTTTTGAGTTTTCCTCCTGATTCTCCTTTGGATTTATGTCTTGAGTTTGACTGGGCCATTCACACAAAGAGCAGGACAAACCAACATCCCTCAAGGGAATTTTTTCTTTCAGTTCAAAGTTATGTTCTACATTATGTTAATCTTAATGCATCAATCTTTTTTTTTTCAGTGTTATCATGACAACATTTTAAATGGCTGAATAGGTGTGAATAATTTTGCAAGGCATCATATTTCCAAACAGCCTTCATGCAGAATGTTCATCTAACAGAATCTGAGTCAGTAAATGATGAACAATGTTGACAAATGTTTTGTGACTCTCGTCTGTCATTCTTGTCAATCCCTGCTCATCTGTTTTCATGTTTCTTGGTGTGACATGGATATAAATAGCTCTGCCTGACCTGTTTGTCTTCTTTTACTTTTCTTCTTCTTAGATTCGCGTCGATGGTCCTCCTCATGGTGGCGTCCAGTATGAGACAATCTCAGTCATAAAGGACGGCAGTCCCATCCTCCGAGACATGGTCTTCTCTCTAGACCGCAACTTCCTCTATGTCATGTCTGATAGACAGGTAGGCATGAAATTTTTTTATGGCTTTTTAAACCTTGTGCTCCCTAATTATACAAGCTATCCTAACAGGAGGACGGATGGCTTTTAATGTGTTTTGTGTGTGCGTATGTAGATGCTTAAATGTCAGGGAGAGTCTGTGTGGCTCTGTTAGGCCCCAAGATGGCTCACCTCTGTACATCATCAAATCCACCAGCTCCTGTTGGCTATAAATAACCTGTGTGGCACAGCAGGGGGTTTTGGAGGGGGGACATTTTGACAGCATTTGATAATGAAGGAGGAGAATGAGGGCAGGGACAAAGAAAGAAATAAAGAGACACAAAAAGGGTTTGGTAAGAATGAGAATAAGTGAGGTGAAGGACTCCTTCCTTTGGCTGGCTGTGGGGAGAGAGAGTAATGAGAAAAAGAGGGACAGCTGGTGGAGTGCATGACTTAGAGTAAAGGGAGGAACAGAGAGTGCAAGGTCATCCTTTCTTGTTCCTGATGAAGTGACACAGCATCGAAGGGCGAAAAAAGAAGCGACCGATAGCCATCAGTACAGTCGAAGCGACGCGTGCCACAGGTAGAAAGGATGGGGCCAGACGCCGGTGGAAGGGGAGACACAAGGACGGTGCGGAGGTCAGGCAATAAAAGCAGAAAAGGGGATAGTTGCACAGAAAAGACATGACAAGAGGAGGAGAAGTGAGAAGGCTGCAGAGAACAGAAGCGGCTGCAGGGGAATCTGTGGCGCAGGCGCACCGAGAGGAGCGACGAACGAGGCCGATGGTGTCAACTGATGAATTACCATCCTCTCCCCTTATCTGCTCTTCGAACACAGTCAACAATTGGCTGGCCACCGCGCACAGGTGTGAACGTATACAGAGCAAGAGTCTTTATTCCCTCTACATTTTGTCTTCAGTTTGACAAAGAGGGTTGGTGGCGAGTTTTAAAATATTATTTTCATTTGAAAAAGTGAAAATCAGCTCCATTCTTTACACATAGTGAGAGATATATATGATACATTTATTTTTGTTCATCTTGATTTAACGGAGCTCCAAAATTCAGTTTTTTAGAATACACAGAAGGAAATGTTTTGTAAAACTTCTTAAGGAATGTGGGGTATTCAGTACTTGAATGCAGTTGCTTTTTTCATGACTTTCCCCTCTAGTCTTCAACACTGAGAAAATCAGCCTGTGACACCACTGAGCTATAAAAACAAAACGCCCAGGTTGCTTTAGATTCTGTAAAGTTTCTAGGACTTGATTAAAGGACAACAGAACAATGGAAGCAGAGGCCATAGCTTAGCCCCACTTAGGATCAACAAACAACAGCTTGGAATGTAACATTTGTAACCCATGTTCTAGATACATGTGTGCAGAGATTGTTGAAGTAGTAAAATCCACAATTATTTGCTTATTTATTCCACAAAACAGAATGGGCTTTGCTTCACAATTCTAATACCACCATTTTTCCTTCCACTCAACCTTCCATGAGGACTCTTAGACACATATAGTCATTTTATGTTGTAATTGTCCTAAGAAACTGAATAAAAAGCCATACATATTACAATTAACATTAAAAAATGCATGATATATTACTCTACTCTAATTAAATCTATAGAAAATATTGCATATTTTATTATGTTTATTGAGGCACCTTTTATGCAGTTTATTTCCTTTCACTCAGTAATTTATAAGCTCTGCATTTTTTAGCCTTGTACTTATAAACAATATAACAGTCACATAAACATATAATTTGGCCCAGCAGGAATTTAGTACTTGAATCAAAAATCCCTTCAATTATTCTGGGAAAAATTAATATTTAAAGTCTCTGGTCTCTCATTTGATCAGAATTTATGCAACAAAATATTTAATTTGGAAATGTGAATTTAATTACATCTTTTCAGATCACTAAGAGTCAGTTTGAATAAATAAATACCATGCACTGTCAGAACATGGAAAACACAGAATTGGGCAGATTGCACAAGTTAAGAAGAGTTTGTATGGAGTCTGAAATGACTTTCCCTATGTTTACTAAATCCTTTATTCCCACTTATTTCACAGATGAAACACTCTTTTGATGTTGAGCTCATAACTACTAGTCATCTGAATGAGAATTTATGTCTGTGGATGTTATTAGTATTCAGCTTGTAGACTCTTCTGTCTCTCTCTGCAGGGGTTAGGGAGGATCGAAGCAGACGCACTCACACGCACATGCACACACACACGTTCAGCTGCTTTGGAGATGTTGCCTTGAATGTTTAACGATACAGTTCGATAGTCACACCTGACAGATTGGCTGAATTGGGATTCAGTTCTGCTTTTCTGTTTTACTATGGGATTCTTTGACTCTGCAGCAACAGTTTTTCAGATTTGATGCTGGTCTCTCTTTGCTTGATCCGAACAACTGAAATTTAAGGTCATGCATTAAAGATCTGCAATGCTATCTGAGGTACATTACACAGCAGATACCTTAAACAAGCCCTGCTGCACTCAGTGGGAGACATCTATTTGACCTTTATCTCAACATTGGCTTAAATGTCACCCCCAATCACACATCCAGAGTTATCACGGGATATATCTTGTCTTAGGTCCGTTTGTTCCCGGGAGTCTGACTGATGCAGGCTGAGGCCAAGTACATGGCATTGGGAGACGGCGGAGAACAAAGGAGGGATGATATCAAACAGGAACCGAGGCAGATTTGGCTCCAGTTGCGTTTCCGACTTGGAATAACAAAGAAACCCTCTGTGTTTGGCACAGTGGGAAAGAGAGTGAACAGAAGAGAGCGAGACATGAGGCTGGGGGAGAGAAACAGAAATCGAGGAACTGAATGTAATATTTGCAAAGCAAGGCCACACTGGTGGACCTGGGCTCGTTCTTACTTCTGCCCTCACACCTGCCAGGTTCTGAATCTTTATGATTTTAAATATACAAACAAGCAGTCAAAGTACAAACGCAAAACACATACTTTGTTTATTTGCATAGGTGCCACAGGCGATAGTTCACCATCTCCACTAGTCACACATGGAAGAAAATTCGGCCTTTTAGCACTACACAGACACTAGCACTACACAGACACATACATTCAAGCATCTGTTCTCCATTCAGTATTCAAATGGTGTTTACCTGATGCTTTGGGGGTAATTCCTCAAAAAATTTATTTGTATTACTCATTAACATAGCACATGCAGATTAGACTCAACAGGCATCCTTCTTTTATCTGGTTCTCATTTGTTACTTCCTTATATTCAAATAATGGATGCTATTCTTCCTGTTTTGTACTCACCCCATCCTGCTGTCATGTTAAACTTTGCGTAGTAGATGTAATGACAACGCCAGCAGTAATATTAATGACAGCCTGAGAATGGCGCAATGTGAGGGCAGCGCAGTGGAACTGATGAAAAGACCTGGCGGACTTGTTTCCTTTTCTCCATCAGCAGCATCAGTGTTGTGTGTGGGACTTGTCCTGCTGAAAGGTGCTGGATCATCGCTGACAGTTTTGACATGTCTAAGTAAAGAGGATTTTCTTCCCAAAATTTATGCTGATATTTCCTCTGAAAATATGAAAATATTGTCACTACTTAAACGTTTTTACACGCAGCAAATATTTCAAATATTTTTTTGAAATTTTATACCAAAGTTGTGCATAATTGTGAAAGCAAAATGTGACATGGTTTTCAAGCATATATTCTGCAAATAGAAATTTGAGAAGTGTGACCTTTCACACATTTGACCTGTCACCTACTTGGCTTGTGACAAATTTCAAAGGGAAACAATCTTGCTTCGTAGAGGCAAATTTTTGTTTTGTTTCTTTCGTGAAGCGACTTGTTTGCTTCTTGGTTTTCATGACGTTTCTTTTACTCTAAAAAACAAATGTGATCTTCTTTATCAAAAAACAATTAACATGGAAGTTTGTGGTTGTACTGGGATGAAATTTTGATACAGAGTGAATTTTTACAGGATTCAAACTCTGGTTTCTGTCTCTTTTTGGGACAGTTACTTTTAAGATTGATCCAGGGTGATTGGATCTCCACTGACATAATAATAATAACAATATTTCAGATTCAGATAATTTTAAGACAGATAAGTACATTTTGATAAATATTGTCATGTTTTTATTGGTAGGCGTCCATGAGTTCCTAATTTTATTTATTTTTTTGACATGCTACTTCAAATTGTTATTTTCAAATTAGCTACCAGATGTGTCTGGTTTAATTTGCAGGGTTGAAAATATTTTTCTTTTGTCAGTTTCATGACTTGTAAATAATCCTCCTGTAAATAATTTATTGGTCACCGTTCAGTGAAAAGGAGACATTTCTTTTCAAAGTCTGTTGTATCGCTTGTATGCAGGTTTTGTAAAAAGTCAACAGGATCCTAATTTTCTACACACATTCTTGTCACTTTTCTGATAAATTTGATGGACTTCTACATATGACAAACATAGGATTATGTTTGCTACTGCTGCAACATCCTAGAATATATTCCCACAATGTTGGTACTTGACTTGGTTTCAATGCCACTGGCAAACCCAGTGATGAACAGAAAAGGTCATAGCTGTTGCGGTGGATTCAGCTGAGCTGCCTCCTGGACACATCCTCGAATCCTTGCTTTCTTTTCCTCCTAGTCATATGAAATGCCCTCTGAAATGTCTTGCATTCCCAAATCCACCTCACAACATTTAATATTGCATCAAAAGCTGTTGTTTTCAAGCTGAATACCACATCATCCAGTGGTGGAGCAAAGCACATGGCTACGTAGTTCACATGATCTGCAAGTATTTCACTGTAAAGCACAGTGGGATTTATTTATTTTTTTCTGATTTTGTTTTGTTTTATCTACTGGGAGGATGAATATGAAGCCAGATATGCTGTGCTGACTGTGATGCGTATGCTGTAGCAGTAACAATTCCAACTGGCAGTCTAATCAAACAGGTGGACAAAGTGTTTGTGTTTGAATGGCAGCTGCAGCAGAGCTTATTTATTGTTGGTTTTGCCAGCTCATGCAAATGTACAGCATTCGATCTGTG